GTGATTTAAGTAGTGCGGAATCCAGAGACTTTTAAGAATCCTGGACTAATACGGTTTTTGGGTGCATTCGCCTTCAAAGCCCACCATTTCTTCTTACACACCTGTTTCAGAAACGTCATTACACATCTTCCTATCTATAATTCCAAATAACTCTAGGATGTGACATTATTCCAGAATGGGGGAAAAATGTTCTTTCATACTTTGGGAACTTCCCTAAATGCCTCAAGCAACTTGCTGTCAAACAGTCTGCAGATGTAGGTTTGCCAAGACTGGCTGAAAAGCCATTTCCAAAGGCTGCTCCAAGGCTGCCAGGTGAGCTTGGGGAATGCTTCTAAGTGGCAGATTTCCTAGAAATCCAGCTCCTGGCTCTCCAGGAGCCAAGCAATCTCAATTAACAAAGTAGATGGAACAATAACAATGCAACCAAAATATGAGTTCTGCACAATGCAATCAATATTATGGGTCATTAATAACGTTGTGAGTGTATGGAAGATGCTGGTTTCCATGATTTGTGTTGTTTCCATGCAAGTAGAGTATCAGACTTGGAGGTAATAGCAAATGAGCTTTTGAAAATACATCACAGCTAAGAACGTGGTGGCATTGATCATTGTAACAGTATGAATTCCTCTCTTTTGCTGTTAAATACACTCAGAAAGGATGTGGAGTAGAAGCAGTGACAATTGGGCTGAATTCCCTAGTGGCTAACTTCGCAGAAACCAGATTGTTCCCATAGTTAATTTTTAAACACTTCCATTCTTTTTTTTTTTCTTTTCTTTCTTAAATTCCTGGAATTGTTGGCTCCAGTCTCCATAATCTTTGGGTTTGAAAGCCTCACTTTTTTCATGTGTAAAATGGAGATATCTCACAAAGATTTTGTGAGGATTATGAGAAATTGTCAGAGCTTTAAGTGCCTTATACAAGAATTTTTTTTTTTTGTTAGCTTCTAAGACCCAGCATTTTCCTGTGATCTTGCTGCACCTTCTCCACTTACTCTCTTATTACTTTATTTCCACTCCTTAAATAGAGGTCACTCTTAATTTAGGACTATGTTCACCTTATTTTAACTTCATCCATTCTCATAATTCCATTTTTGGCCTATCCTCCGATGATTGCTAAAATCCTATCAACTCAAATCTCCATGAGTTTAGAACTACCCAACAGTACACTGGATATATCTGTGAGCTAGCTCAGAAATCTAAAAGATTTTTGCTAATCTGTTCTACCTCTTCCCAATTAGACTGTAATGCTTATACTCTTGGAGCCTAGAAAAATGCCTGTTATTCAGGCATTACAAATCTGGAGGACTGAATGGGCTCTTATTTATGAGTGAGATTAATGTTATAATTCATAGGCTATGAGTTCCTTCTCTACCCTGGTTGCTCAGGGAAAACCACTCTGTATAATTCAGGGATAACAGCTAGACCTAAAACACTGGCCCCTCAGATTACACTTGACCTCATTTCACAGGACCTAGGGAATACAGCATAAGACAATTCACACCATGGAAAAGCATCTGGATTTTTATTTGGTAGTTTACAAGTGTGTAAAAAATGTAAATAAACAGAAGCTGTTCTTAGAGCTGGATAAGACATCCAAATTCTTTTAACATATAATTTTCATCCTAGAATGACTTATAAGGAAAAAAAGATCAATCCTAAAAATCTTACTGCACAAGCCAGTTCCATGAGAATGCACAAAAAAAGTAGCAAACAGTCTTCATGGGAGACTGCAATTTCATTTAAAAAGCAGGCAGCAACAATTTCCTGTCAAGTTCATAATGTCTTTCCTTTTGTTTAGTCATCCAGAGTGAAGTCAAAGGGCTCAAAATCTTTCCGGAAACGTCCAGCTAGGGTTTCCTCTTCTTCCTTGCTGATCTGACACTGCCTCCAGTCAGATTTGTCAGGAATATTAAGGATGAACTCACTGGCCAGTACCTCTCTTCAGAAAAAGCACAAAGTTGTTAAAATGGGATTTACTAGCCCCAAACTCCATCATCCTTCCACTTCTCTCCAGCCAGAACTCTCCAATATCACCCACAGAAACTAACAGATTTCTCTGATTTTGCTTATACTGCTCCTCTACCCAAGATGGCTCAGTCTACTAAAATCTTCTATGGTACTTAGGAAAAAAAACAAACAAACATGACAAAGAGGGTAAGCTCTAATGTTAGATACCAGAGAATGGATTCCATTCTGAACCCTGCTACTTGCTATCTATGACTTAAACAATTTCTTCACCTCATTCTTGCATTTATGAACTCAAGTAAGAGCACCTCATAGGGGTTTGTGAAGTACAAAGGTAACACAATCAAAGCACTGTACTAGCTGTGTTATAACTTAATTTTGTTAACCAATTAGACCATGAGTTTGTGGAGGATACAGTACTGTGGTGTGCCATAACCATCCGACTTAAAATTCTGCTTTTCCTTCTACAGGCTTACCTTGACCAAGACACACTACAAAAGTTCAATATGAAGAAAACCTATCTTGGCTCTCATCAGGACTAGAGAACAACTACAATACAAATATATACGCAGCTGCTTCTAATATCAATTTTTTTAATTTGTTTTATTTTGACATGTTAGAAATAATTCTATGATTCTATTTGGTTCATCTTCAATACTGAAGCTACAGTAAACAGAAGAGTTAGAAAAAAATCACAGGAATCTTCTAAAAGTCAAAAGACCTGAATTTGTCTTAGCTCTTTGGGCAAACCTTTGAGCTTGCTTCTTCATTTGTAAAATGATGATAGAAACAGTTTTCCTATACAGTTGGGGAAAAAAAAAATGACCTTTCAAGTATTTTGTAAGTAGAAGAAACTATTGACTATAGGTATTCCAAAAAATATTCATGGTTTAATCAAATGACTATAGGATCACAAAAAACATTCAAAGGATCTCCCTTTTGTGGGCTTGGCATGCCTGTGTATCACTGTGCACAAGCATATCTTTTGCTAAGGCAACAACGAAAAGATCAACTGAAATACCCAAAGCACTGTTCTAGGTTATTATTTTTATATATATGTACATATATATATATATATATATATATATATTATTTTTGGTGCTGGTCCTATGGTTTGAACTCAGGGCCTGGGTGCTGTCCCTGAGTTTTTTTTTTTTTTTTCTCAAGGCTAGCACTCTACCACAGTTCTACTTCCATCTTTTCTGGTAATTAATTGGACATGAGTCTCACAAGCTTTTTCCTGCCTTGGCTGGCTTCAAACAGGCCTCAGATCTCAGCCTATTGAGTAGCTAGGATTACAGGAGTGACCCACTGGCACCCGCCTTATCAACAAATCTTTCTGAAAAAGTAAACCACATTTGCTGGACTTATGTAATGGGGCAATATCTTGGAGACTTTCAAAATTAGTCCAGGGAAGGGATCAAGGCTCACTCAGTTCTAACACTATAAACAGTTCTAACTAAACAGACAGCTGCAAACAACAGCAGCATTGGTAACATGGTCCGTGCTTTATCTACTTCCCTTTCATCTTAAGTTTGTGTCTTCAATATTGGCCTAGCTTATCCTGTTCTGCCTGACATGAGAAGTGAAGCCTGAGAAGGATTTCATCCTTACTGAAAGTTCTATTGGGCAGAAGCTCTGCTCTAGACCGTCATTTTCCACAGTGGTAAATTAAATCAATAGTATTTACCTTACAGAGTTGTGAAGACTTTTTTGGGGTGCATGCATGCATGCATGTGTGCGTGTGTGTGTGTGTGTGTGTGTGTTACACTACCACTTGAGCACATTTTATAATTTTTTGGGTTGGTCATGGGACTTGAACTCTGGGCATGAACGCTGTCCCTCAGCTCTTCAGTTCAAGGCTAGAGCTCTACCACTTGAGCCACAGCGCCACTTCCATATGCTACCACTTGAGACATGCCTCCAGCTCTGCTTTTTGCAGGCTAGTTTGGAAATAGTCTCTTGGACTTTTCTGCCTAGGCTGGTTTAAATCATGATCCTCTAGATGAGAATCTCCTGGGCAGTTAGGGATTACAGGAGTGAGTCACCAGCACCTCGCTAGAGTTGTAAAAATTAAATGAAGCAATGCATGTGAAGTTCTGCATATGCCAGACCCACAGCATATGCTCAAATGGTAACATTCCCTTAGGTAACTAATTTCCTTATCCCAATCATAGCCATCTAAATCTGTCAAGTTCAACTTTGACCTTTCCATAAAGCTTAATACCAAGTAGAAATAAGCTCTTCGCTGAATTTCTAAAGTACATTATTCTCTAAAATCCTTCTATGGTATTGCTGACATTTTGTATTACATCATATATATAAATACCTGACTAGTCTATAAGCTTCATAGGGAAGGACTGTGTGCTATTAGTTTTTTTTTTTTCAGTTATCTAAGCAGCCCATCATTTGTTGATAGTATGTCTAGTGAAAATACATTCAAAAGAAAGAAAACATACAAACCTTCCAAATTGCAAAGGAAAATTCTTTTTAATTCTATGGAAAAGCTTCTCTCCTGTGTCAAGTTCAACATAAAAATATGCTGCTCCTGGCTGTGCAATCTAAAGTAAACAGTTATAGGATGATGTAATAATGCTTTGGAATTTTATAACCCATTTCAATAAGCTCTCATTTAGCAAAGCATTCAGTCCAGAAATGTAAGAAACAGATTTTGACACCATCCCATCTCCACCCCCCCCCTCCCCCCCCCCCTATTTTACCTGCTTAATGTCTGAGTGTTCTGGGATTTCCAACAGTTCTATCTGTTGCTCTTGTGCCTGGGTAATGAAGGCATCTTTAATGTCATCTGTAGCACAGCAGCTAAGTGGCACAGGAATGACCTGCGTAGAGGTAAGGAGAATAGGAGAAATTCTCTACACAGGTTCCAGAAAGGTTGTCTATCTACAGAGTTCCACAGAGTTCTGAGGAACAAATCCATCATAGGGGTAAACAAACACCCCTCAGCAAAGACTCTCCTCAAGCCAGACAGCTTCTGTCAGTCTGTCTTTAGGACTTAAACTTATGAGACATCCAGTTACATGTGGGAGCCAATCTTTGATGTAGGAAAATGCTCAAGAGAGAATTCTCTGTCTTCAAGCCTTTGCTAGCTCCAATATAATATATGTGGTAGAGTCAGGCCCATTTGAAATTTAACAAATGTGCCAGAAAGAAACCACCACAACTACAGATAAATGATAAATAATCAAATTTCTGAGCCAATCTGGGACTATTTCCTACTTATAAATCTTCACTTAATCTGGGCTTCCACATGAAACACTCCTTCCAGACTTAGCGAGGCCCACATCTTCCTTCGTACCTTTTTCACCTATCCACTCCTTTTCTAAACAAGGCATTTACCATCCTGCTATTCACTTACAACCACCACATACTTCCCTCCCTATGAAATCTCTCAGATTATCACCAGATTATTTTAGCCTTGGAAGTGAATATTATTTAAATATCATTATGAAATTGAAATTAAATTTTAAATGTAACTACTCTTTATTCATTTACCAATCTCAAGATCACTATAGTGCCTTCTAAGTTCCTGGACAGAAAACACCTACCTGTAGCTGGAGGTGATGGCTCTTATAATTTCTCTCAAATAGAACACACTGTTTCCCTCGACTCCTAAAGAAGTGCCTCAGGGTAGCTTTATACTTCTCTACCTCTTCCACCACCTCTGCTGAAAGCTCTACCACTGACTGGTAGTGTCCGATGGGCAGGATGAGGACATGGTCATCAGTTAAGCCTCCTTTGGCCAGGGCAAGGTAGCACTGAAGAAGAAGCACAGAGTTGAGACAGAAATTCTGCATGTACAATTCTCTAGGGAAAAAAAGCCTACACTAAGAGTAAGCCTAGGGACATAGAAAAAAATTGCTCAAGATGCTCCTGCTTCAAAAAATATGATTTTTTTTCTCCAGGTGCCAGTGGCTCACATCTGTAATCCTAGCTACTCAGGAGGCTGAGACCTGAGGATTGTAGTTCTAAGCCAGCCAGGGTGGGAAATTTCATGGGACTCATATCCAATTAATCACAGAAAAAGCTGGAAGTGGAGCTGTGGCTCAAGTGAGAGAGCACTAACTTTGATGATAAAAGCAGAGACAGCACGCAGACCCAGAGTTCATGCCCCATGACTGCACAAAAGAAAAAAAAAACCGATAGGCTAAGAATATAACTCAGTGGTAGAGTTCTTGCTTGAGATTTACAAAGCCTTAGGTTTGTTTCCTAATACTACAAAAGAAAAAAAAAAAGACTCAATTGTTGGTAAAGATATAGAAAAGCCTTTATTTAATTAATTTATTTTTTTTTTTGGGGTCCAGTTGTGGGGCCTGAACTCTGGGCCTGGGTGCTGTCCCTCAGCTCTTCAGCTCAAGGCTAGTACTCTTTTCTTTTTGCTTATGTGGTGCTGAGGAATCGAACCCAGGGCCTCAGGCATGCAAGGGAAGCGCTCTACCACTGAGCCACCTTCCTAGCCCCTAGAAAAGTCTTTATACATTATTAGTAAGACTATAAAACAGTGTAGCCATTTTGGCCAATAGATTGATAGTCTCTTAAAAAGTTAAACATAAATTTATCATATCTAGTCATTCTATTCCTTGGTGTCTACTCAAAAGAAATAAAAATATGTCTATATCAAGATATACATGCAAATCTAACACAGCAACATTATTTCTAAAAGCCATAAAGTGAAAATGAAGTGTAGTAGGCCATTCAAAGGAAACTATTTGGCAATAAAAGGGAATAAAATACTGATATATATTATAACATCTAAGAACCTCAAGAATATGATGCTAGGGAAAACAGAGCCAGACACAGAAGACCATGTATTATACGATTATAGTTCTGTAAAACATCCAAAATGCACAACCTCATAAAGACAGAAAGTAAACTAGTGAGAGTAAATGTGTCCAATAAATTTTATTGAAGAGATAGAAATGTTCTTGAACTATATTATGTGATGGTTGGATTATTCAGTAAGCTTACTAAAAATAAATTAATTGTATACTTTGAACAGGTAAACTTTATATGTAGATCATGCCTCAGTAAAGTTAATAAAAATACATAAACAAGTATGTATCCTTCTCAGTACTCATGGAAGTAACTCACATGTGTGCCAACATTGACCACCAAATGCTTTTCCACTTCAGGGCTGGCAAGGCAAAACCAGCAGGGGCCTGGAGGCTGTACTTCATGTGAAAGAAAGACAAATGTTACTATGGTCCAAGTATGACAGCATATAAAGCACCTTATAGAATTCAGCCTCATCAGATCTTTATATTCTACAAAAACTGTATACAACATTGACATGACAGGCTAATTCTTCACTATGATCTCCCTCTTGCCCCAAACTTAGCATCATTTTCAATTAAAGTAAACCTCTATTAAAATAGTTCTAAATTTGTAACCAATTCACAAGTAGGTGATCCAAAAATAGGTTATCACATATTGATTAGAGTATGTATTCTGTATATTTTGACTTTGATGGAAATATTTTTAATTGAAAACCTTTCTACGAAGTGTATAGAGAACACAGTTCTCTACCTCTTTGGATATGTCTGTGTTTGAGGTTTCTTCCTCTACCTATTGAGTTTTATGTTCCCTTTCACTATGAATAGTTTATTAAGCATCTTAAGGCCAGAGGGACACAGGATGCTAATCATATTACATATTAGAGTAGCATGTAACTAGCAATAGGCTACAATGAAAGCATAATGAATTGGGATATTCTATTTACCAATTTCAGTCCCAGATATGCCACATGACCAGGAGTAATAGTTTACTACCTTAAGGTCAAATTCTTTATCTTTGAAATAAAGAAAGTACAGATAGCTTGAAAGTCTGGGTTTATTTTTGTTATTTTATGAATCTACATAAACTTGGTATATTTCTTTACTTCATCCTGTTTTACACAAAGGAAAAGAATTTCCTCTACAGTTCTTTAAGGAAGAGCCTGAGATGGTCTCAAAGTAAGGCTATTTGAAACACTTATATTTATTTATTTAGCTTTATTTTTTGTGTCAGTTCTGTAACTTGAACAAAGGATCTAGGGGTTGTCCCTGAGCTTTTTTGCTCAAGGCTAACATTCTACCACTTGAGCTACAGCTATACTTCCAGCATTTATTCATTCACTCACTTATTTATTTTTGTTCATCGTGGGGCTTGAACTCTGGGCTTGAGCTCTGTCCCTCAGCTCTTCAGCTCAAGGCTAGCGCTCTACTACTTGAGCTATGGTACCATTTCCGGTTTTCTGGTGGTTTATTGGAGATAAGAGTTTCATGAACTTTCCTGCCCGGGCTGGCTTTGAACCTCGATCCTCATATCTCAGCCTCCTGAGTAGCTAGGATTACAGGCGTGAGCCACTGGAGCCCAGCTTATTAATTTATTTTTGTAGTTAATTAGAAATAAAAGTCTCACAACATTTCCAGGCTGGCTTTGACCCACAATTCTCAGAGCTCAGCCTCTTCAGTAGCTCAGATTACAGGTGTGTGTCACTGGCATCCGGTTACCTTTGTATTATTTTACTTTTACATTTGCTTCTAATGTAATGACTGCAGTTTCTTCTGCTCTTTTAGCAATCCACCTAATAAACCAGAAGTAACAGTTACTGCTCTTAAGAGACACCAGAACGGAGAAACTTACGAGGCTTGCGAGGCTGCTTTGAGTAAGAAGAAAGTTTATTATCTCTGCCTGTGGATGAACGCTTCCTTCCTTGCTTTACATTCAAGTCAAAGAAGAACTGACAGGCTGATTCTTCCTAGAATGGCCAAGGAAGAGGAGTATATTATTTAATCTTTAGACAAGTAGCCAACTATTCAAATGCAAAGGAACATTTCTGACAATTCTAGGAAATAAATAACCTTCCTAACCCAGATGTCTGGACTCTTAAGTCACATGTCTCAACAGTTTATCTAAGGTACCAACAAATTCATCATTTTGAAAAGACAAGTTAACATGCAGTTATAGCACAATTCTTTTTTTTTCTTTTAAAAATTATCTGTAAGTAGTACAATTCTTGTGTAAAACAGAACAAAATGAACCCACCAAAATTATTTTCCCTCTTTCTGAATACGAACATAGACATGGGATAATCCTATAATTTCACAGATTAAGCAAGTGTAATTAAAATTTAATTAAAGAGTATTAAAGAATCATTAGGAACAAGTGTAAAAAGAGAAGATAGAGAAGTGGCTTTGAGAACACAGAAAAGTCTGGGAAACCAAACCATGAATCCTAGAAAGGGAACTTGACATTCTTTGCTTTTATGAGGAAAATATTAATTTCAGAAGTCTGCTATTAAGAAAATTTCTTGAAGCCAGGCACTGGTGACTCACGCCTATAATTCTAGCTACTCAGGGGGTTGAGAACTGAGGATGGCAATTCAAAGCCAACCTAGGCACTAAAGTCCATGAGACTCTTATCTCCAATAAACCAGCAGAAAACTGGAAGTGGTGCTGTGACTCAAGTGGTAGAGCACTAGCCTTGAACTGAAGAGCTGAGGGACAGTGCCCAGGTCTGAAGTTCAAGCCGCATGACGGACAAAAAAAAGAAAAAAAAAAAAAAGAAAATTTCTTGAGTAGGCTGGGAGCATTTGGCTAATGCTAATCATAGGTACTCAGGAGACAGAGATTGGGGAGATTACAAGTTTTTGCCTGGCCAACCCAGACAAAAAAATTCACAAGATCCCACCTCAACCAATAAAAACTGGGCATGCTAGCCATGTGCCTATCATCCTAGCTATGCAAAAAGTATAAATAGGAGAACTTAGAGATAAATAAAAGATCCTATCCAAAAGATAGGGATTGGGAGCATTGGTAAGCTAGTAGAATGCTTGCCTGGCAAGCCTTAAGAACCCAAATTCAAACTCTAATATTGCTTTCCTTCCATCCTTCCTTGTTTTGGTTTTGAAAGGAAAAGAGTAAAACAGAGGGAGGGACCCCAGAACTAGAAATCCCAAGAAGAAAATTTCTTCAGTGAATTTCATTTCTTCAGTGAATAGTCATTATAAAATCAATTACACTCTACTAAGCTGGATCCTTCCCTGAAAACCTAAGAATAGACAATTTTTGACAAGGAAAAGAATATGAAACTAATCTCAATGTATGAATCAAGTTTCGGCAAAGAAAGACAACATGAAACTAGTAACCCTAAATGAATAAAAAACACTGAATTTAGTTAAAATA